GTCAGGCAGGAGGGGGAGGTTAGGAAATGCAAGCGTATAAATTAATGTGCAGTTAATGTTCATAGATGTGTTTCCATAATTGCATACAAATTGAGACTTTTAGTGACAATGTTTGGTATAATAGGTGTGGACAGTTATTCCTTCAAACAACCTTTGATTGAAGAATAATGAAAACTTAAAAAATAATTTTGTACTATTGATTAAGTTATTGCTTTTTCTGAAGTCGCATAGTTATATACAAACTTGTGCTGCAGTGTGCTGGGGAATGCTGAGGAGACACTAAAAGTCACCATATTGTGTGTTGCTCTAGCTACTTCAGTTGACTTCAGTGCAGCCTACGAAGATACTTTTAGAATATATATGGGGTTTTCGTTACTCAGTTGTTTTCAGAAGAATAGCCACTGACTAGTGAAATCCAAGAGGAGTCTTTACATAACGAATAATACATTGCATCTTTGTGCAGCTATATACCATGCTCCGAGAGAATACATGTGGCAGTAACAGAAATGGCAGCCTTGTTCCCAAAAGTAAGTACCTTCCAGCATTATAATGTTTTTGGCCTCATTCCTCGTTAGTAGATTACCTTTCAGTAAATGAAAACCAAAAGCCAAAGGTAGGGAGAAATGACTAGGCAGTTGTCACATCTTGCATCCTTTGTATTTATTAGCAAGCCAATTGGGAAGGGCTAATGTATGAATCCAGGCCTTTAATTTTGCTCTTGAACTTAAAACTCTAAGAATTGCACACAGTTCCTCCAAAACTGGAGGCTACTTGCTTGAGGAGTCATGTGGTTATACAGGAATTTTGCTAGAGTCATCACCCCCAAGTTTCCATTTGAGTGCCATTGCTTGGATTTCTTACTTGCAGGTATGTTTGGATCTGTTACCCATCTACCAAAGCGATCTGTTTCTTCACAGCAAGTTTAGGGAGTGAAATCTCCATGATTGAGTTTTTGTAATGTCATATCTACCTCTGTAAAACCGCAAGGAAAATCTACTGGTGTTGTGCCTGCCTGAACTGATTGTCTTGTACATGCTCTACTCTGATGTCAGCCAGGACGTGGGCTGGGTAGCAGTAAACGGGCACTAGAAAATTGTATGAGTAACTTCCTAAATGAGAGCATGAAAACAGTGTTCCCTGTGTACTGCCTAGCAGCAGTTTGAAACCTCCCCAAGATGAGAGAGGAGAAATTCCAGGGACATGTTTCACCTGCCCCTACCCCATGTCTCTGCAGCAGTGATGGCTTACAATGTCTACTACAGCACAGAGAAGTCTGTGCAGAAAGCAGGGCCCTAGCAGCAGAAGTTTTGTATTAAAGAACACTACTGGCTAATTAAAAGTGATCCTGAAATGGTTTTGTTTTTCTGTCAAGTTCAACTTCTACTTTCCTCTCCCAGAAACCCAAATCTGAACTGGTAAGGACTTCTTTACGTCTGCTGACATCTAGTGCCTACAGACTCCAATCCGAGTGCAAAAAAACCCTTCCTGTGGAGACGTGCCCTACGACAGACATCCAGCTGGTCACACAGCAAGTTATCCAGTGCGCCTACGACATTGCCAAGGCCGCTAAACAGCTGGTTACCATCACAACCAAAGAGAACAACAACTGAGTCACACTTGGCTTTTTAGTCTTGTTTTTTAAAGGTTGGATTTCAAATATAGGTGTGGAACTATTCAAATTTTTATGAGAAAAACTAAAGGGGCAAGAAACATTTTTTAAAACTCAGTATTATTTTTGCATGTTTTCTAACAATTTTATGATTAATTTAACCCACTGCCTTATTTTGTGCCTGTGTTGCCAGTTTAGTTACAGATAATAGCATGTTGCAAATAGCTGTTGAGCCAGTACCGCGTACCAGCCTCGTATCAAGCTCTTGCTAGATGTTTCCTTGGAGTCATGTTCTGCTTTCAGACATTGCTTACAAAACTCCCACTGAAGTCAGCTGCACATATCAGAGGGCAGAATCTTGCCTCTGGTCTGTCCGTCCTGGAGCCTCATGTGCTGTGATGCCACTGACTGAGAAACCTGCAGCGAAACAGGCTCTGAAGGCTCCAGGACCATAATGGCTAACCAGCAGGAAGAAGGTTGTAGTCCTGATAATGGAGCACAAGCCGAATATTATCTGTTCCCATATCAACTGTTGTGCAATAATATGTTTTTAGTCTGCTAAAACAATAGTAGTTGTGGGCATCTGAGCTTATTACATGTAACTACACAAGGTCTTTGTCACTTTATCTGTTTTGGAAGGAATTTGATACTTAATAGTTATTTCTTTTAGTTGTCACTATGCCATTAATATATATGTTTGATGTTACTTTAGGGCATTAGTGGTTAAAATATTATCCTTTGTTTCTGATTTAATAATTCATTCTTAAGTTTCCTCCAGAATTTTACTGTCATCTTTAAGGCACCATCTTGTTTGCAGCAGCATTGCTCAGTAACTCCAGATGCAATTTCACTAAAGATTTCTGTGATAAATAAAAAAAAAAAAAAAGGAAGTTAGAAGAGCGCCAGTGCAAAAGCAGCTGTGTCTGCCATAGCATATAACCTTTGTACCTCAACATATCCAAATGTGAAAAGATTTCTTGTACCTAGTAAGTTTTTCGCAAATCTTTCACAAGCTACATATGGAGTAACCCACACTAGGCTGCCTGTCACGACAGTAGATGGGTAGCAAATGTCAATGTGCATCACGTTTTTTCATTCATAACAGTTCACAAAACTTCCAAAAATATGTGTCTGTCCATAATTTCAAAAGTGAGAGTTTTCTGGGGACTCTAAATTCCATGGTGGGGGGGGAAATCACCACTATTTGCCTCCACCTGTCCCCCATTTGGAAGCGTGTTGTCATTTTCAAGGAGCTGGCCGTGGCAGTTCAGCAGGTGGCCGCTTCAAGTGGTCTTGTAGTTAAGAGTGAAGTTGGGGAACTGCAGTGGCTGTCATGTGGCAGCAGTTGAGGTGAACATTTAGACAGTTTTCACAGAAACCTTTGAGTCGGAAACGGCTGTCTGCTGTTCCACAAATGGGTCTGCCAAAACCACAAACTCTTCAAGGCTTTCTGGTGAAAAACTGCCATATTTAGGTGAACAACTGAACTGAAGTTCAGTGGTTGGTTCCTTCTCAAATCATAGTGTGTTTGTATGTGTATATAAACACTAAGTGCCATAAGACTGTTCAATTCCTGTATGTTGTAATTAATGCCCTTTCTAAAGTAGCACAAGTTTGTGGGAGGGAAGGAATGGAGAGTAGATGACAACCCAGTAAATGTTCTTTGTGGGGCTTTTTAGTTCCTTTCTGCACTTTGGAATTCCAGAACTGTCTCTAAACTCATGGGAACGTGGACAGGCTGGGATTAGAACTGCAGAAGACATTTGTTAAACCTACTTCAAAATTTTGCTACTGGCAATTAAATACATTGATAATCTTCTAGGAACTTTTCCTTAAATTGGCATTATTGAAAGGCAGCAGGTGGTATTTTTAAATCTCTCAGGATGCCATTGTGTGCTTTTCTTTAATATCTTACCCCATTTCCAAAGCAGGGTAATGCTGAGTTAGCTTCTAAGTTACCAGTTGTTTAAACTTGCCTCTGTGCAAAAACAAGCAGATGCTTTGATAACTGCACGCCCTTGTTCCAGCTACGCTAGCTCCAGGTTTTCTAAAATCAACCATTTAGCTTGTTGGAAGGCCTAGCTATAAAACCATGGCCAACCTGTAACTGATTTCCTGCTTTGTCACTTCAACAGCATTTCTGGTCAATTCCCCCATCTCTGAACAAAGGTTTGTTCTAGGTTGGTTATGGTCACACTGTCATTGCTCCAGAACAACAGTGCCTGTGATGCAAGAGTGGCCCTTTTCTGGCATCCCCAGTAAAACAGAAGTGGTCTGAGCATATGCTGATGACCTGCATCAGCTCTCTTCACAAACAGGCAGAGTGGTTCAAACCAACAGTGGAGCTAAGAAGTAGTACATAGATTAGTCCTCGGATCATACAGCATAATACCTGAAATAACAAAGATGGTTTTTTTGGTTTTATGACTAGATCTCCTTTTTTTTCCCCTATAAACAAAGTTGTTCTTTCTGTACAAAATGCTGCATAGGAAAGTAAAAATTTTTTTGCCTTTTTCCAAAACTTGTATTTATCAGTGTTGTTCTATCTGTACAATATTTTGACTTAATCTTTTGTTTACAGTATTACTATAAAATGCTAAAACCCTTTCAGTGTGCAAACTTGTTATGGTTATTTGACTGCTGGTTTTGTAAAGAAAAGATCCTGGAGAGGGTTTCTATGGTTGAGTAAAGCCTGCAGTGCTGAGGTGGCACCCATCTTGGTAACAGCCCTGTGACAAGAGCTGAAGGTGCCACACCAGCTGAAGTGCGTGGACTAATATTTTAAGCTGTAGTTGCTGACAATCAACTAAAACTCCCCTCCTGTTGTTGCAGTAGTTCGCTCATGTAAAGAAACAAACGGTTGTTCAGGTTGCAGTTATTCATTATTTATGAAACAAGTGAAAAGCAATGTTTAATAAAGTCTTCAGCACTTTCTGGAGAGGAATGGGATGTGTTAGGAGTTACTGCTGCAGCACACATTATCTATCTTACCGATTTGCAGTATGTGTTAGGAATTAACTCCTAAAAGCCAGCTGGGCCTCTGGGCACATCCTGCTGCTCAGAGGTGGGAGTCTGACACCTAAAGAGCAAACGCAGCACGTAGTGGTTCACAGTTCACATTCCACAGGAGGCACCAATTTTTTTACGGTTCAGGTCCCAAGGGCCCCCTTGTTGGCTGTGTGACCCCAGTGTAGCACATACTGAAATAGGTCATCACAATCCCTGAGCGAGTGAAGCAGTTCCATATGCCAAGGATGCTCACACCTCTACATTCTTGAAGCCAGTAGGAATTTGCTCTTGTATTCAGCTAAGCCACAGCTAAGTATTTTCAGAAAGGTACTAAGTTGATTTTCTTTCTGTAGTCTGCAGCTGCATTTGGTGCTCATTCCTTGGGTGCAAAGGACAGGAATCCTCAGGTCCATGCTGCTTTTGGGTAACTGTAGAGCTAAGAGGGTCAAAACAAAGACCGTAACTATGTCATGGGCTCTAGAATTAATTTTCTGCACATGTAAAGGAGGTACATTGGAGAGCACAGCATATCCTCCAAGAAGAAGCATCAGTAACATTTAAGAGTTGATACTTTCAAGGCACTAACACCTCCTTTTGGCTTTCTCTGACTTCAGTAGCTACTGTCTAATAAATGACAGAGGTGAGTTACTTTCCAGAGTACCTCACAGTTTAGTATGAAAAATATGATCTGCTAGGCACACGGTTTCGGTATGGTTACTCAAATTCAGCTTCATTTTTAGAGCTAGGCAAAGCACAACAGAAGACGGAAAGACACTGAGCAGCTGAGGTGCACTGTACCAACTGTGTTAATGCAGCTGGTAATGCTAAAAATAATTAGAGTAACATTTGAGGCAGTAGCAACAAGTCTGCCTCAGAAATTGTTTTAAAATGGGGACTTAAAGCATCAATATCAGCAAAAAAAAAAAAAAAGCAATTTATAAGAGAGAACTATAGACCTCTGTTAGAAAGAGGAACAGGCCCGGTGTTCTGCCCTGGTGCTGTGTGGCAACCAAGGTGCAGATTAGAAACAACGACCCGCGTGTATGGGCTTCCCCTTCGTGCTGCTACCTACCCTGCTGCGATGCCCTTGCTCAGCCATGTGCTCGGCCTCCTGCTGCACCAATTCCTCACAGTGCTGCCGGGCTGATCTCTCCTCTTCCTCCTCCCTCTGGCGCTGCTGCTCTTCCCGTTCTTGCAAGCGGCACGCTGTCAGCTGGGCACAGAGAAGATGGGGCTGTTAGGGCAAGATTGGGCACCTTCAGCAGCTGGACACGTACCTGGAAAAGTGTGCTGTACCTGCGCCTTCAGTTCCTCCTCCTGCTCCTTCTCTCGCCTAGTCAGTTCTTTTGCCTCTTCGAGTTCTTTAATCAGCTGCTCTCGATACTTTATAGACTTTTCTTGGGCTTGTCTGTTTAACTCCATCTTCTCTTGGATCTGGTGCTGTCTGCCTGCAAGGACCTTCATGAAGTGAGAGGATTAAGGGAGAAGGTAAGTCAAGGGGGCCAGCCTTTGAAGCAGAACTGGGGGAATTCCAGTGCAGACGGTTAAACAGTTCTCAGAAAATGTATCAGACAAGCAGAAGAATCCTGCCCTGGGTAGTGAAGGCTGTAACCCCCCGGAGGGTGGAGGGTCACAGCTGGAACAATGGCTTCATCGAACCAGGAGAGACACTTCATCAGAAAAGGTCATCACCTCATTCATCAGGCGATCTCTGGCCACCTTCTCTCTTTCCCATTCTTCTTCCCTCTTCTCCCACACTTTTTTAGCTTCTTCTCTAAAGGAGAAAGAAAGAATTATCTCTAAGGTTACTACTGACAGTTAAAAAACCCCACCTATATACTCTATGGGCATAGAGGAGTGCTTTAGAGGAGCACTCAGGTTTCTCTTCACATTTGTTCCCAGGCAGCTAGCATGCCCACCCCACCTGTGCCTATTTCAGAGAACCACTCCTATCTCTGTCACTGAGCAGCAGGGGGTAAGAGGCCAAACGGAACACTGGCCTGTAGCAGGACTTCTTGGATGCACCCATCTGGCCCAGGCACAGAAGGGCCTCGGGAGGAAGCTTGCCTCTTAGCAAGGATACTACTTCACATGGGAGGTGGGTAGTTAAGGGCATTGCTGGAAAAGCCGAAGATTTTGCAAATCTTCCCTCCACAACAAAACCTTTAAATAAAATTTGACAGTAGCATGCACTGTCCTGTCACCAGTGAAGATGTTCTATGTGCTGGGGAGAGCGAAAGGTGAACCTGAACATGGAACCTGAGGCAGCTTTTATCTACAAGCTCTGAGATACACAAGGAAATAATACGCAGGTTTTGGAGTCACTAAGCCCCTCCACAGCAGTAATGCAGAATCATTGAAAGTTGGTTACAATGTACTTACAACTAAAAGGTAATTCTTGCCATCTCTGCATTACTACATTTTTTTTTTGTATTAAAGCTGTTGCATTAGAGCTAATATAACAGAAATTAAGGACTAGGTCTTGGGCTGAGGTAGCTGAAAAACAGCCTCGGCTTTTGATTCTGTCCTGGCAGAAAAGCTTCGGCTCTGCCTGTGTACTGGCACGCTGACCGCCTAGCACGGTACTCGGCACACGGAACAAAGGGGCAGAGCTCACTTCAACTGCAGCGCTTCTACAACTGCAAGGCCAACCAGACACCACTTTCTAACATCTGCTCTCAAAGCCTATTTAACAAACACAAATGGAGCTTTGCCAACCGGGCAGGAACATTCAGCACGTACGATCTCTTTAGATGACGTTCAGAGGTGAGCAGACTCACCTAAAAATAGTCTGCAGCTCTGCCTCCCTCTCCTTTTCTAACTGGAGCTGTTCCTCAATGACATGTTTCATCCAGGCAACATCCACAACAGCTCGTTCTCGTCGCACGGACTGGCGGCACTGATCCTCATCTTCTTTCTCGAGGAGGGCTAATAAGATTTGCCTGTCTATCTCCTTGAGAAAAACCACAAGATTAACAACTATCCAACAGGCTTCCAGCCTGTGTGCAGGGCTATTCCCTACAAGTTATTGGTGACGTAGTGTCAAGGGTGCGCTCAGCGAGACACTCAGTCTGCTGGCTTCCCCATGACTCTGCGCTCCAGCCCTGTTCACAAGCTGGAAGGGGCTTCCTAATTAATTATCTGTAGACATCAGAGGCAGACACATAAGTGAAACACAAAGAACAAGTTTCTTCAGCACACAATATCTGTAACATATAAATCAAGGGGTACTTCCTCTTACCAGCTCCTCTTGTATCTGCTGGGCTCGTCTCTTTAACTGAATATCGCACTGATGCCTCAAAAAGCGACTGAAGGAGAAAAAAAAAAAAAGAACACATTCAAACTGACTCTAAAGCCCTATGTTATTATACACCAGCACTCAAGAAGGTACACCTATGACAACGTAACTTGCAGACAACAGGGGTACCTGCTACCGCAAATGTGAACAAAAAGAAGTAACAGCACCAATGCATTTGCTTGTTGGCTGTTCTGTCCGCTTCTGTCAAAAACCAAATACTTACAACCCACCACTATCTGAAATATCCCCTCGTGCCGCAAGAACTATCATGGATGTAGGAACAGATTCTGTCGAAGCCCCACTGAAATGAGCTACACTTGATCTCATACCCAAGCTCTTTCTTCTTCCGGTGCTCTTCCATTTGTTTCCTTTCTTCTTCCAAGTCCTTCAGCTCCCACTGCTGCTTTAATAAATTCTCTTGTTCTTTTTTCAGCTTTGTTGCCTGAACAGGAAAAACAACCACCAAGAAAGGGTACGTCAGAGAGCTAGGACATCCCAGAGAGAGCCTTTGTACTGGAGTTTGTACCCCATTCTGCTCCTCTGCAAGTGGTCAAAATTCTCACTGCAGTAAATATTCCATGTTCATTTAATTCGTGTCTCAGGGACTCACAGCTCCAGAGACACTGTGAGGAGCTCCAGCTGGCAAAGCCTTTGACCTGAACCTGTCACACTTAGAAGTTTCTACAGACCTGTTTCTCATCTGGTACAGCACAAAAAGGTGCTCACATTTCAAGAGAAGCAAACAAAAGCTACCGGAATGCAGTCAGTATGCCAGTGTTCAGGGGAGAGGTCTACACTGCTACACAGAAATTATGTCACAGCTAACTTTGTTCCAGATTTAATCTAGTGGAAACCTGGAGGGGAGAGGTCAAGTCAGTGTTGCTTTATTTACACAAGAAACAATGAATTTCCTTCTCAAATGAGGAGAAACTAAAGATTACCTCTGACTCCTGTAATTTCAGTTCTTCTATTTGTTGAAGCAACGCCTCCGCTTGCTTCTTCTCTTCCAGCTGACGCTTCTCTTCCTCTTGTCTCATTCTTTCCAGTGCATCCCTTTGCGCAATTTCATATTCGTTTTCATAATGTTTTTTCTCTTCAAGTTCAGCTGCTTCTTGCTTTCCAAGCCAAAAGAAAACATGGCATTTAAGGTTAGGCTAACCCAAAAAACCAGCCTCGGGCTCAGGAAATCCACAAATCAAACTCCTGCAAGCTGACACCTATTGGGAAAATATGGAACAAAATATGCTAGGAAGGAACACAAGGACAAAGCCAAACTATCTGCTGATCACTGCCCGAAAATGGTTATCAGTCTATACCCATCCTTCACAGGACGCTGCACAGGTCTGGTGCAAAGCACAGGTGGTCTCACAAATAGACTCAGATTTTCCTATTACAACCTAGATTATTGTTTTAGTTAACTCTGACACCTGTATTTGAAGGCCTTTATTATTCTTTCACATCAAAATCACTGTATTCCCGTATCTAGTAGGTTCGTATTCAAATACTGAGCTCTTGCAGCTTTGCACCAGCTCTGCACTGCAGGTCACTGTTAGATGAGCGCCCAGTGCCACAGTGAATCCTGCAACAGATCCGTTCAGCAGATAGTACTGGATTTTCTAAGAGGCAGATAGCATGTACTTGTTAGACAGGAACGATGGCTCTTCATTAAAAGCATCCTTCCTGTTAGCAGCTACTGTCGTTCTGCGGACACCAGAACTCCCCATCGCTACAGGAACCAGCGCAGCAACCTCAGTCGTTATTTTTGGTACAAGACTGGTGTGAGAAAACAAACAAACAGCCAACTCCTTCCTATTCCTTCCACACCCGAGCCCTGCCTGTACAGGAAGCAGGCTGTCTGCCAGCCAGGTCAAAAGGCACACAGTATCACACTTCCACCTGCTCATGTGCTTCAGGAGTCTGCCCTAGTGACCAGTAACACCAGGGCTACCCCAGCATACCTCGTTTTTTTGCATTAGCTGATCACCCCAAGCCTCCATCACGTGCTTCCTGTGCAGCTCCGACTCCACCTGTAGATGACAACAGATACCATTAGCAGCAGAGGCTCCCTGGTCCCCCAGGGTCTACTGGACTCTCTGGAGCACCATCTGGCCCAGCTGTAGCCCTGAAGTCCCAGCAGGATCTGCCTCTGCAGTGGTGAGCTTGTTTGGGTGTCCTCAGTGCCCACCAGGTCCCAAGCTGAGGGTCAATGTCACACGCCAGTTCTGGGAAACACTACAGTGACACTGAAACCAGGGCTGTGGCGGCTAGACTGGCAGGTTGGTGGAGTAAAGCAGAAGGAAGCGCCATGGACACGGCAGGTACAGCTTTAAAAAGCACCTGAGATATTTACATCATGGGAACTGAAAATCTGCTCTGAGTCAGAAGAGATTTCTGACTCTTTTTGAAAAATACCAGCTTTGGGGGGACTTCTTACACAGTTGAGCCATTTTACTTTTTTGCCTTTTGCTCATCAGAACTTAGGACGATTGCTGTGATTCAAGGTGAGTGACAACAGCAGATACACAACGGCTTTCAAGTTAAAAACTGGCTTCATAAATGCAAGGCGTCGGGGACTAACAAAGCAAGTAGCATCACCTCCCGGAGCTCAGCGTTGTTTTTCTTCCAGTGCTCATAGAGCAGCTGCTCAGCGACCTGGAGACAGGAGAGTGGCATGATGTCAGAGCACAGAAGGACCCCAGGCACCCAGCCCTCCCAAGGCAGCCATTAGTTAAGGACACCGAGCGCTGAAAACCGCAGCCCGGGGCACTTCTCTCCGGCCCCCAGCAAGTCCCGTTCGCGCGCCCACAGCGAGGGAGCGGCGGTACGGGCCGGCAGGGCCGAACGAGCGCTCCTTCACCGGGAGAAGTGGGGAACGAACCCCGGGGCTGCGGGGCCTCTCCCGGCGCCCCGCCTGCCCGG